CCTCGTTGGATTCGCCAAGACAGTACCATTCCATCTTTGCCATTACCACCTGCCAGTCTGCACGATCCTCATGCGGACTGTACGGAATTCCGTTTATGTCACACAGAGCAGCCGGACCAATCGTGTGACGGAAAAAGCCAATTGTACGGGAATAGATGCGCGGTCCATTTCGGTCAGTGTACGAAAGTCTGCATACTGTGTTCGCCACAGTCTCCAGTTGTCAGCCAATCGCCCCGTCTCCTCCATAGCCAGGTACGCCGGGGGTTGGATCTGCAGTCGAATGTTCAGTTTCTTCAACATTGGGAATTTTGCATCAGTTTCTGCTGCTACCATGCCAAAAGTCGGTTCTTCAGGATGTGCTCTCGATATTTGTTCTAAGTGCACCGGACACGAATCACATTCGGGAAGGGAATCACAGGCTTTATATATAAACATGAACCGATCAGATTGTTCGGTGTGCAAAATTAAAGTCTTATACGGATCAATCATAAGAACACGATTGGTGCAGTTGAACAAACGATCAATTCAAACGACACTTTCCAACACATCCTTCTTCTTTTGAAAGTTTTTCATTATGATCCTGATTGGTATATCCATTCACCTCGTGTTCGGGATGCAGATTGTGATACACTATCTATCCGTCGTTGGTATTTCTCACTGCGGTTCTGGTACACTGATTTCAACATGCTCCTGAACGGTATTTGGATCTTCTCTTTCTTCGTCTTCGTCACCATTGTCTTCCATTTTCCTCAAATGAACTCTATTTCTCCGTTGACCCGTTGACCACAGCGTACTGGGTACGATTTTTTGTTGTTCGCGATATCACTTCTCCCTTCACCCACTCCTCCGTTGGTTCCAGTGGTTGTACTCAATCCGTGTCTCCTGATCTGAGTGAGCACGGAGGTTGACTGCAGCAGTCGGGATACCTCTTCTGTGACACCATGCGTTTCCTTAGCCTTGACTGTATGATTATTAATGGCGTAGTCTGTGGCTGTAGTAACTGGTCGCAACTGGGTAGAACCATGCGTGAGCATCTGCAAAATAAACGTTGGCTCGGGTTGGTTCCCATGTTGGCCGACGGTATGTTTCGTAACTCGAGCAGAGCCATGAGTGTGTCGCTACCATCCGCACCGCATTTTTTGACAAGCTCCTTTGCCTGTTTCACTGCGCTTTCTGCTTTGCAATTGGACTGACTATGATAGGGGCTAGTAAAGTGGTGCTCAAAACGCCATTGTTCACTAAATTTCAGGAATTCGGTACTACGAAATCGGGGACCGTCATCGAAAATCACCTGAAGTGGTATCCCGTGTCGTGCGAAATGAACTTGCAGTTTATCAGTGATCTCCGCCGATGTGCTGGATCGCAGTAAATCAACTTCGAAAAGGTCAGTGTAGTAATCAACAGTTATCAAGTAGGTGTCTTTTCCATGATAAAAATATCCAGCGCCACCATCTGCCATGGTCTACCTGGTATTGCACGCATATCTATCGGTACTTTCATTTGTCGTGGATCAAACTTCCTGCAAATTTCACATTTAGCAATCAACTGTTTTATTTGTTCTGACATACCCGGCCAATAATATGTCGCCCTGGCGCGACTGAAGCATCCGCAGCTCATAGTTGTATTTCTGTAGACATATTAGCATGGATTGTAATCTCCTTGGTGCTCTATGAAGTGATTTATCGACAGTTATGATCAGTGGTTTGTGATCCGAGTATACATGTGTGAGTCGACCAAATGTGTAGTCATTGAACTTCTCCAGCGCATACACAACTGATAGCATTTGTTTCTCAATCTGGACGTACCTTTGTTCACAGGCAGTTAGTATCCTACTCCGGTAATTTGATGGATGCCCGTTTTGAAGGAGCACGGCACCTAAGCCCAATTTACTTCTGTCACAGAGGTGCATTGGGATCGAAGTAAACCAGCACTGGGGCTTTCACAGTAAGTTGCTTGAAGCGATCAAAAGCCACCTGTTATTCCTGTGTCCAAAGCTACGGTTCTGCTTTATGCGTCAAACGTCCAATCGACCGCATCAGTTTCGCTAGTTCTGGGAGAAATCTACTGAGATAGTTTATCATTCCATTGAATCGTGATATGCTTTATGCATCGGTTGGGGGAGGCATTGCTACAATCGCTTTTACTTTTTCCGGGTCTGGTTTGATCCCTTCACTTGTAAGTGTGTGACCGTGAAAGCTGACTTCCGATTGACAAAAGAGTAGCTTGTCTTGTTTCAACTTAATTCCGTCTCGTATACAACGCCGTAAAAAGCCTTCAAACCGTCTGTTGTGTTCATCTGCATTTTTATCAAAAATTAGAATATCGTCCGCCACGCACAATGCACTGGGTAAATCACCAACCCCTTGGAGGATTCCTTTCTGAAAAAGTTCACTTTATACTTTCAAACCGAACGGCAGTCTTTTCCAACGATATCGCCCGAGTGGCGTGCCAAGTGGTCAGGTAGCTTGATCTATCGTCCAGCTCTAAATGCCAAAACGCAGAGGCTAAATCCATCTTCGTGAAGTACCTTGCATTAGCTAATTCCGTTAGTATATCGTCAGAAATCGGTAGAGTGAAGTGCTCCCGTCATAATGCCTTGTTTAATGGTTTCGGATCGATACATATTCTCAATTCCCCAGACTTTTTCATCAACACCACAACCTGCCTTGGTTCATCGACTTTCTCCAATATACCCTTTGCGATAAGTTCATTCACTTCACGCGAAAATTCATCTCAAACTGCAAGTGGGATCCGCCGCGTTGGTAAAACAACGGGCTCGGTTGCGTCGTTTGTATGAAGTGTCACAGTTCCTGGCAACTCTCCCAGTTTTCCATCTAAAACAGAGGCATACTTTTTCAGATAGTACTCAGTGTCCTTACAAACGTAATGAACAAATGAATCATAGTCAAATGATACCAAACCAAGCCGTTTGATGGACTCGTATCCAAGGATTAGAACATAACCCGGCTCCACCACGACAAAACTCACGACAGAAGAGACTCCGTTTCTAAGGTTCTTCAGTGTACTAGTGGTTTCTCCTTTAGGCTCCACGTATGCACCGTTACATATAACTAATCTCGTCTGGGTAGGGTCCAATGTGGTATCGGGTATGAAGTTTCTCGGTATTATGTTGACGAACGCACCAGAATCTAGTTGGAATGTTACTTCTTCTCCATTCACCAGAATTTTGCAAATATGCATTTCCATTTAGCCGGTAGTTGTACACCATTGACACGGTCAGCTGCTGGAACGTGAGGTTCTGAAGTTGATTCTTTCTTCCTGAAACACTTTGCTGCAAAATGATTACGTTTTTTGCAGTTATCGCACGTTTTTCCCCAAACGGGGCAGTTGCTTCTCCCCATCAGATGTATGCGGCCACAAAAACGGCAGGCAGCTGTTGGATGTGTTTGATTTTCAGCGGCAATTTTGCATAATCCATAATCCTCTGTTGTGGTAAACGTCTCCATATGCTTCTCTGCTGCCTCTTCACTCCGACATATGTCGATGCATTGTTTAAATGTTTGGAATTTTTGGGAGGCGCTTCACCACAGGAGAATCCCGTAGGCAACAACAATTCGGTCCCGTATTAGACTCTGTTGTATTGTATTGTATTGTATTTGTAACTTTTGTAAGCATATATGCTTACATTTCAGTTAATATTCTAGACAGGTACAGAAATTACACGGACTAGCCAGTGATTTTAGGGATAGGACGAATGCGTTGAGGGACACATTATGCTGGTTGAAAATGTATCGTTCATAAGCCTCGTTGGATTCGCCAAGACAGTACCATTCCATCTTTGCCATTACCACCTGCCAGTCTGCACGATCCTCATGCGGACTGTACGGAATTCCGTTTATGTCACACAGAGCAGCCGGACCAATCGTGTGACGGAAAAAGCCAATTGTACGGGAATAGATGCGCGGTCCATTTCGGTCAGTGTACGAAAGTCTGCATACTGTGTTCGCCACAGTCTCCAGTTGTCAGCCAATCGCCCCGTCTCCTCCATAGCCAGGTACGCCGGGGGTTGGATCTGCAGTCGAATGTTCAGTTTCTTCAACATTGGGAATTTTGCATCAGTTTCTGCTGCTACCATGCCAAAAGTCGGTTCTTCAGGATGTGCTCTCGATATTTGTTCTAAGTGCACCGGACACGAATCACATTCGGGAAGGGAATCACAGGCTTTATATATAAACATGAACCGATCAGATTGTTCGGTGTGCAAAATTAAAGTCTTATACGGATCAATCATAAGAACACGATTGGTGCAGTTGAACAAACGATCAATTCAAACGACACTTTCCAACACATCCTTCTTCTTTTGAAAGTTTTTCATTATGATCCTGATTGGTATATCCATTCACCTCGTGTTCGGGATGCAGATTGTGATACACTATCTATCCGTCGTTGGTATTTCTCACTGCGGTTCTGGTACACTGATTTCAACATGCTCCTGAACGGTATTTGGATCTTCTCTTTCTTCGTCTTCGTCACCATTGTCTTCCATTTTCCTCAAATGAACTCTATTTCTCCGTTGACCCGTTGACCACAGCGTACTGGGTACGATTTTTTGTTGTTCGCGATATCACTTCTCCCTTCACCCACTCCTCCGTTGGTTCCAGTGGTTGTACTCAATCCGTGTCTCCTGATCTGAGTGAGCACGGAGGTTGACTGCAGCAGTCGGGATACCTCTTCTGTGACACCATGCGTTTCCTTAGCCTTGACTGTATGATTATTAATGGCGTAGTCTGTGGCTGTAGTAACTGGTCGCAACTGGGTAGAACCATGCGTGAGCATCTGCAAAATAAACGTTGGCTCGGGTTGGTTCCCATGTTGGCCGACGGTATGTTTCGTAACTCGAGCAGAGCCATGAGTGTGTCGCTACCATCCGCACCGCATTTTTTGACAAGCTCCTTTGCCTGTTTCACTGCGCTTTCTGCTTTGCAATTGGACTGACTATGATAGGGGCTAGTAAAGTGGTGCTCAAAACGCCATTGTTCACTAAATTTCAGGAATTCGGTACTACGAAATCGGGGACCGTCATCGAAAATCACCTGAAGTGGTATCCCGTGTCGTGCGAAATGAACTTGCAGTTTATCAGTGATCTCCGCCGATGTGCTGGATCGCAGTAAATCAACTTCGAAAAGGTCAGTGTAGTAATCAACAGTTATCAAGTAGGTGTCTTTTCCATGATAAAAATATCCAGCGCCACCATCTGCCATGGTCTACCTGGTATTGCACGCATATCTATCGGTACTTTCATTTGTCGTGGATCAAACTTCCTGCAAATTTCACATTTAGCAATCAACTGTTTTATTTGTTCTGACATACCCGGCCAATAATATGTCGCCCTGGCGCGACTGAAGCATCCGCAGCTCATAGTTGTATTTCTGTAGACATATTAGCATGGATTGTAATCTCCTTGGTGCTCTATGAAGTGATTTATCGACAGTTATGATCAGTGGTTTGTGATCCGAGTATACATGTGTGAGTCGACCAAATGTGTAGTCATTGAACTTCTCCAGCGCATACACAACTGATAGCATTTGTTTCTCAATCTGGACGTACCTTTGTTCACAGGCAGTTAGTATCCTACTCCGGTAATTTGATGGATGCCCGTTTTGAAGGAGCACGGCACCTAAGCCCAATTTACTTCTGTCACAGAGGTGCATTGGGATCGAAGTAAACCAGCACTGGGGCTTTCACAGTA